ATTCAATGGTGGAAGGGAGAGGGAGGAATTAAATTACGCAATTACTGCGCACATTCTGAAATGCATCATGTATAAACCGAAAGGCTGGCTGCTTTACGCCTGTGTTCGAGGCTGGTAAAAGTGGTTTTAACCAAATTCAGGTCCCGCATAACCCTCTTGGCACGAGTTTCTGTTGAGTCCAAAGCTATTATGTGGAATTTTGCAGCACTAGAGCTCATATATGGCAGCAATACTCCATGCACGACCAAACTTGCGCTCTATATAAGGTAAGCAGCCGGCACCAGCGTGAAGTATCGCGACACCTTCGCAAGGACTCCTAGCTTCCATGTAGCTGCTTTGATATCTCAAACCCCAATAACTGAAGGCGTTCGGTGTATTCTAGTAATACATTTCGGAAAGAAGGAGCCAAGATGCTTCTTTTTGCAGTGAAGAAATACGCTTGTGTTTTGGAAGCGTTGAATTTTACAAGATTAGTATCGCACCATTCGAAGACTGCATATAGTATGAGGTTCATACGCTCTATCAAAACTTCTTCTTCGAATAAGAGTGACAAACGATCAAACAGTCCACGTGATGGGAAGTGGATCCTGTGGCCCATAGACATCTACATTTATCCTCAATTAAGCCTCAAAATGCAGATGCGTTGTCACTACATAGGACTGAGATGGAATGCCTCACTTCCAGTAAAAAAGGGTCTCTGGTTCTCTACACTCGCCATATGAAACATAGCATTATTAAGCTGCTATTTCACGCTAGTATTCCGTGGGAGCGTGGTCCTCTCACAGAATACCCATTTCCATTTCACAGAATATCCATTCCCGGTCGAATCGACCCATTCTTGCTACAACCGCACAATAGCTGCAGCGTGGTTCTACCACTTAGATTAGTCAGTTTCCAGGATTTTGGCACTATTACAGTCCTAAATGAGAGGCGGCACAAGCGTAGGAGACTACTCGGGTGCACAAGCCTTTAGAACTATAGCTGGTATACCATCTGCTGCACTAGCTTTATTCACGTGTAAACACCGCAAGGTTTTAAGAATCCCCTTATTTGTGATACAAGCCTCCGACATAGAGGTCCCGCAGTGAGGTAATTTAGGTGGAACGTTGTTGTCACTGACTAGACATGAATTGTAGACAAAGAGAGACGCGAATAAGTCTGCTTTATCTTTAGCCGTATGCGTAAGTGTGCCGCCAAGTTTTAACAGCGGAAGCTGTGTAGGTCGATAGAAGTTTGTCTCGACCGCTTTGGCGAGAGACCAAAAACCTCTCGTGCCGAAAGGTCTGGCAAAGAGTTCTGCGCCAATATGTTTAATGCGATCGAGGCTAGCTTTTCGTAACGCTCTTTTGTAGGACTTGACGGCGCATTTCGCGTTAAACCATGTACGAGGTTTGCTACCAGTGGGAGCGTCAGAAAAGTGTATAAAATAGTCCATAGTTTGACGTAACCCATCGGTTATTCTATTCACACAGCTCGATGGATCCGCAGAAGGAAAAAACCTTTCCACCAAGGATAGGGTGCAAAAATGTGTCACATCTCATCCCAATCAGCTGACTTATACCGCCATATTCGTCGAACGCTTGGGACTCGCAATCAGGTGGAGAATAGAGACGATACGGACTTCGCCAAACAGTGGTCAGATGTACCCAAAGGGGAGGTAACCTGTAGTTCATACCCGTCAGGAGTCGGTGTCGGAGTGACTAGGGTACCCGGGGTACCCTAGTCACTTCATTTATTACCTATTTGCTTCATGTATCAGCTGAGAGAGACCTAGCATCAAAGCAAAATACCACGCTTCTCTTCCAGCATGTTTGGTCTTCTGGTACGGGAACAGCTAGTCCTGGTGACAGGAGTTAAAGTCTCCTAGAAAGACCAGCTGTGCAGTAGCATACTGATTTGGGGCCTCATCAGCAGCCTCACTAAGGTAATCAAATAATTGTGTTGTCTCCTGGTCGTCACTGTGCGATCGATAGACACAGGCATAAAGGATTTTATCAATAATTACTGTATCGACCATCACTCAGATTGTCCTAAAAGCTGGGTCTTCAAGGTGACGGGACACTGGATTTAGATGTCATTGCGGGCGTGCACACAGAATCCGCCACGTAGATGGAATTTGTGTTCCAGAGATAATTCAGGATAGTCGAGGTACGCCGCATTCAGTAGACAATTTGTGCCTCCGTTAAGAAAAAGTAGGTGCGACTTCTCGGTCTCAAGATGGTGGTGGAACGCGCGAAGGTCAGAGTGAAATCCTAGAGTATTAGTGAGGTGCATTTTTAATAAGACGACGTGTAACCACTGTTTAGCTACACGTTTCTTTTTAAGATAGATATATTAAGAGGTAAGAGTAAATAAGGATGGAAAAGAAAATATACAGAAATACTGACAGGAATTTCTGATCGGATGGAGGCACCGTTTTTCGCTAGTTGGGGGCAGCCTTTCATGAGTAGCTAATTCACTAAATGAGCAAAACCTGCGGTCGGCCAGCGGCATACTGTGCTTCGTATCCCGCTATCATACACGACCAAGCACCCGACATGGCAACAACTGACACTTTGTACCCGGTTTACATACACAACGCTACTGTTCAGAACTATTCTCCATATGGCTTTACCACTAATCATGCCGGAACACGACAAAGATTAGTTTATAAGCATGTATATATATATATATATATATATATATATATGTATATATATATATATATATATATATATTATTGTACGTATATTTATACTATATGTATATTTTAATATATGTGTATGCATGTTCACTTATTTATGTATAATGGTCGAACCTGCCAACAATTGTTCTTGGCACCCAGGGTTGACTGGCAGAGAATGCCACATGGCATTAAGTCCGCCTTATGTACCCTTTAGCTTAAGGTGTAACATGTAAGTATAAAAAAAGTCACCTGGCGACAAGGCTTTGCATTGGCGGGTGGTAACCAAAAAGCCAGCGGGAGAAACCTACCACCGAGATTAGTGCTGCTCATTAGCACTATTTAGGGAACCCGTGTAGGGAGTCAGATTTCAAATATTTCCTGCGAACGCGAGCAGCCCAAATATATTAATATGATATCTTCGCAGATAATAACTATATTTGTCGTAAATAGGATATAAACTTTTTTTAATAGTTATAATTAATATTTTTTAATATTCATTATCTTCGTGTCAGTTTAAAATAGTGTTGTGACTACGACTTATATATGCACCTACACATCAGAGAAAATTGATTTCGAATAATAAAGACCTGGACTCATCATCGAGATAAATATCATGAAAAAATGTATATAACGGTTATTTTTAAAACGAGAGCAACTTTGAAGAGTAAATGTCAAGGACAGGTTTTTTGACTAAAAAATATGTAGGCACATTTCTAACTTAAGCAATGTAAAGAGTTGCTCTATAGGTATACGACATTCAAAGAAATTGTATATTTGGTATCGGATTTTCAGATATTCTACGTAACTTATACTCGTTATTCATAAAGCTATCAATACTATTCAATGAATAATTTTGAAACGACCTGTACTAAAAATCGCAATCTAAAAGGTCAATATTACGTTACACAATATACGGTTACACCAACTAGTATTGTGCATTCATTTAATATCGTTCGTAGCGCGGCACATTCTATTTAGTTTGTATTTAACCAATAATTGATGCCGTCGGGAATTTAACTCATTTTGCTCGCATATTGTGATATAATTACGACGAGCTCTTAGCCCTTCAGCTACCACAGCTAATGTATGTAATAAAAATAATATATGTAAATTAGTAAGAGATTTGAAGAAGAGAATAGAATGGATTCTGGTAGTAAACCAGGTTGTAAAACACTTCTTTTGCTTAGGTATTCCCTTGAGGAAGTAGTAGCAGCCTCTTAATTATTTCTGCCGCTGTGAAGCAATCCATCTATTTGATGAGTTTCATTATGAAAGGGATAGACTACAAAAGCTAGTATATTTATAGTCCCCAAGGCATTTCATCCTAGTACATGAGGTAATCGCGAATTTTCCGCCTACTTGTTTTAAGTTAGTTACAGGCGTTTATGAACAACAGTAGCCACTTACTATCAGGTGGTATTTAAGTTGGTTTCTTAGTTTAATGTCGAAATAAAAAAATATTTTGGAGTGATTATTCATCTCCATCCATAACAGTCTATAAAAGTTCACAGCTAAACATAGGCCTGCACCAGTATATGGGGGTTTTGCTATAGTTAGGCTATTTAGTTGCCACGCTAGGTTGTCAACCTCATTTTTTATAATTTTGCGTTGTTATCAGGAAGATGCTGCTGTTGCCCATATCCTGTTTAAGTTTACCTCTATCACCTCTGACGAGCCCACGAGACGATATGGATTTTCTTACACCACCAATAATTTGTGTTGTTATAATACGTGGTGTATAATAAATGGTTGGCTATAATACGTGAGATCATAACAAGGAGTTAAGTATAACAACACAGAAATTAATAACTTATTTTTTTTTTCTTATTTTCGGAACAAAGCGTCGGAATGCTATTAATATCTCTTGACATTATTCAGAGTCTGTAACCCAAGTTACAATAATATAAATTATAATAATTACCATGACAGTTTATAAATTTAAATAACAATGTATGACATTAAACAATAATAAAGATGCAAATTTGAGTTTCCGATCGACGTTCGCTTTAAACGAATGCGTTTAATTAAATGTTTGAACAAGTGTAATCCCGATGAAGTACAAAACGGTGGTGCTAATAAATTTGGACAATATTTTTGTTCGACTGTTGGATTCATGAGCACATTATTCGTATTATCATCACGATGATAACGATATATTTATTATTATTATTTTTATTCGGGACTGCACATTGCGAGCGTAAGTGAATATAACAGTTAGATAATTTAAAGGGTACAAGTTGCAGTACCCAAAAGCTTTTAGACGAACGCTTAAAAACCTCACGTAATAGCAACAATGCATTCATTGTCTTTGTTTTATTTGAATTGTAATTGGCAGGGGTTACCTTAACTTGTGACCAAATACGCGAATTTGTGGATGGTCATAACACGCGTCGTTTAAAAGTTGCACAGGGGTTAGTGCCTGGGCAACCTGCAGCGTCGGATATGCAGTTTATGGTATGTATAATCATATACGTTTCATCATTGCTTGCACACAACAATTCATACTTGTTTAAATGTTATATATTTATTATAATTTGAATACATTACGAGGTATGGGATGAAGAACTTGAAGAAAAGGCAAGCGAGTGGGCAGATAAAGGAGTATTCGCACATAACCCAGACAAATATGTAGGTAAGATTTTCATTAATTTAAGTAACAATATCATCATTATTGCAGCCCTTCACAATAGGCCTCCGCCAGAGGATGCCGCAAAGCACGGTCCTGAGCCGTCCGCATTCATCGACTTCTTGAATATCTTACCAGGTCGTCATTTCATCTAGTGCGGGATAACCTTACACTTCGCCTACCGGTACGAGGCTGCCACTCGAGAACCTGGCTTTCCGATCGGTTCTTCGAGCTATATGGATGCCCCATTGCCACTGCAGTTTTCTAATCCATTCGGCTATCTGTTACTCTGGTTCTACTGCGTATATCCTTATTTCCAAGTTTATCACGCAGATAGACCCCGAGCATAGCTCTTTCCATAGCTCGTTGAGACACCTTGAGCTTCCTCATACGGCTAGCGGTAAAGGACTACGGAAAGAACCAGAAGTAATCTAAACATAAGCTTTGAAGTCGTTTTTTAATGTAAGTTCAAGTATAATGTATATTCGCATGAAGTTAATTCGTTTTGGTATTCTACATTAGGCTTATACCACCTTATACATGAGGGATATACGTTTACGCCCCATTTATTTGACGCCAAGAGCTCTTTTCGACCATTCTTATAAATATCTACAGGACGAAATTGGATGAAGAAATCTCCTACATTGTCTCCACTTTGCTTACTTACTGCTTATTGCGAATAATAGGAAGTTTTTTTTATAGGATAAGAGTGACAAACGAGCACACAGTCCACCTGATGGTAAGTAGCTGCTGTGGCCTATAGACATCTACATCTATCCTCGACTACGAATCAGATTGCAGATGCGTTTTCACCCGTGAGGACTAAGATGGAATGCCTTGTTTCCAGTAAAATGGATCTGTGGTTCTCCATACTGATCATGCGAAACACAGCAGCTGCTTAATTACGCTGGTATTCTGAAAAAGCGTGGTCCTACCCCGGTCGAGCCGACTCATTCGTGCTGCAACCATAACATATCTGCAGCATAGTTCTACCATGTATATATTTTAACCAATTTGTGGGGCGCTTGGGTGAAGCTGATGAATTGGTATTAAGTAAATGAAAGTTAAAGTTACAGCCAATATACGTCCCACTTCTGGACACAGACTTCCTCTTATTTCTGAGAGAGCTTTAGAGCAAGGAAGTGTCCGCCGCGTTGCCGCAATGCGTGTTGGCGAACTTCACATGTCTTCGGAATATTTTTTTTCTCAGACATGCAGGTTTCCTCATGATGTTTTCCTTCACAGCCTGCGCTCGGCTAAATGGTAAAACAACACTGTTAATTGCAATTAACAGTTTCGTTGGTGCCGGCGGGGATCGAAATCGGGTTGCTCGCAGGATGTGACTATACAGCGAGCGCTAACTATCTGAATAACCACGGCTCAGTAATTTTTTTATAGGATAGGATGACAAACGAGCACACAGTACACCTGATGGTAAGTGGTTGCTGTGGCCCATAGACATCTACATCAAGAATCAGAATATAATTACAATTATATGCAGATGCGTTGTCACCCGTGAGGACTTAGATGGAATGCCTCGTTTCCAGTAAAAAGGGTCTTCGGTTCTCTACACTCACCATACGAAACACAGCAGCATTAAGCTACTATTTGACGCTGGTATTCTGTGAGGGTGTGGTCTTTCCCCGGTCGAGCCAACCCATGTGTGCTACAACTATACTACTAATATAACTACAGCATGGCTCTACCAGTAATAGGAAAATATCCACTCAACACGTGCTGGTAGATCTATGAAGGACATCAAAGTGCTCGGTGATGTTCTGAGCTTCTCTTCGTATAAGATTCCGTTAAGGTTATTCACAGTGAAACCGGAGTTACCAATATAATCCAACGGGGTGTCAACCGAGAGTAGCAGGAAATTGACGAGTGCAGGTGACTGAAAACGCTGTTTGTGTTTTCGGTCTTTGAAGGACCTGTGATATATGACAAAAGAGCATAATCTACTATACATATACCTAGTTACATTTACAAAGTTCTGTCGTTCCTTCATTTATAGGTTCAAAGAGGTGGAGTTCAGTAGGAGAGAATATTTATATCTCCTATTTTTGTTCAAATATGGGTGATGAGGCGCCGATAAATACGAGTAGAAGAAGCATTGGACTTTTGGTTCCAAGAATATAAAAATTATAATTTTGTGCCTTTCTATTTGGACTCTGTTAATCAATTTCGTCACTATACACAGGTAATTAAAAGTTAAAATAATAGCTATGATATTAATATTATTAACTGAACGTTTTTCTCTTTGTAAAACTTTGACCTTCTAAATTAGATCAACTTCATAATCAACTTGGTCAGTAGGAGCCAGTCAATTTTTTTGGATAAATACTAATACTAATAGTTTCTTAATCTGTAGCATATTATATTTACTCGTATGTGAAGTGCCTCTGTGATACGGGAGAACCTCCTAGGATGGGGGAAATATTTATTAAAAGGAAAAACAAAGACAAGAGATGCTAGCATTTTTGTTACTACGAACTAAAATATTCTCGTGGAGTAGCAGTATAAAAGAATCCATGACATTCCGTGAGTATTGTAAGAGATAGATGGAAATTAAACAGGAGGTGGGCAGCAACATCTTCCCGATAACAACTCAAAATTTATGTGTGTACTTAAGAAGGTTCATTTATGATCTTTATTTAGGAATTTATCTACACATAAACGAGCTAGGGTACATGAAAATGAAACTTAAATGTTAATTAAGTATAGGTACTTTATTTTAGGTTTAAAGATTTATTCAAGTTTATTTAATTCTACATAAAAAGTCGGTATTTTTTTGTTTCAAACTATTCACACATTCTATATTAATTTTATTTTCAATATTATATAAAGAATAGAAAATCTCATCATCTATGTCTCTGCATTGCTCTATAAAATATTGTGAAGATCTCTAAAAAAGCTAATGATACAAATAAGTTACTGTACTTAGACCTTAGTGTTTTGTTTACGTTTGAAGTCATTTGTTAAACACTGTAAGCAATAACAATGATCTACAGGGAACCTTTATTGTTTGCACTTTCATTTAAAATGACTAATTGATAGATAATTGAAGTTGCAAAGGTCGTCTTGTTTACAACTTTAAGTTACTGAGGTGCGTTCACGTTGCCCAAATTATTCGTTTAAGTTATAGAGGGTTTGTATTTTAAGTAAAGGAGGTTTTAGACTTGGAGTGGAAGGGAAAACAAAATTTTATGAATTCATAGAGGTTATAACGCTATCGAGGTTTAAGTTATCAAGGTTCTACTGTATTTGATGTGTAGCATAATATTTTTTAGAGCAAAGAGAAGTGGCAAATGCTAGTGAAGCGACTGATATCTGCTCTTAAATACAGATCTTCGTGATAACCACAACTTATTCTGACAAGAGTGTTACGACGAAGAAAAATATGTATTAAAACTGACCATATTTTCCTTTGAAATTTAACTGAATGAAAACAAAAAAGAATTTGAATTGTCAAAAAGAAAATACATATTTATCATTATAAAAGATCGTATAAAAATAATAACTTATGTTTATTTCCTTGAGATATTCTACTTTTCCATACACTAATTTGTTTTACGATTTCAGATGGTTTGGTCTAGCACTAATCGTATCGGTTGCGGCGTTTCACAGATAAAGGACAATAACTGCACAAAAACGCTGTTCGTTTGTGACTATGGTCCAACGTAAGTACAATCACTTAAAATTCTGTGCCGTAGTAGCTTTAGAGCTAAGCGAGCAATCCAGGTTCGATCCCCACAGTCATCGTGTTTGTGGCGGCGTTAACAACCTCATCCATCGGTAGCGGCGGGGATGGTGGATTGCTTGTTTTATCAAGTAGATGATAAAACATCTTGAGGATACTTGCATTATTGAGAAATAAATTATTTTGATAACATACGAAGTCCATCAACATTTTTTTCGTTTGGATCTATCGATTATCTCGATTAAACGTCACGACTGGCAGCGTCGAATTGACAGCCTAGTTACACCTGCCATCTATCGGAAGTCATAAGAACTTTGTTTTTTTTTCTAGAATAAAGGTGACAAGCACACAGTCCACCCAATGGTAAGTGGATGCTGTGGCTCATAGACATCTATTAACATTTATCCTCGATTAAAATTCACAAATGCAGTTACTCATCATACGAAATACAGCAGCGTTAAGCTGCTACCACGTACATTTCCCATATTCGCCTCTTACGTCACCAACTGGAGAAAATGGAGTGACTAATTCTCGACTTCTCAATCCACCACCATATGTTTGTTACAAGGGACACATTTGATGCCTTACACTCTGCAAATTAATATAATTTGGAAACGTGTCTGGTGTTATTTTCAAAATTATATTTAATTACTACATGTATATAATTTTTTTTAGCAATATACATAGTTATTGTTCATAGTATTTAATAAAAAGAACAATATTACAAATATTACAGACCTAAGTCTTTTTTTCACTTTTTTGGTATGATTGTTCATTGTTTGTATTTCAGCGGAAATTATTTTGAACAAAAACCGTACAACTTCAATCAGCGAGCAACAAACATACTTCGATGCAGCGATGGCTGCTGCAGTAGACCTTATGGATCAAATTGTTAATTTGGGGCTAACTTAACTTTGTTAAAAGTTACTTGTAACAAATATATTATTTAGTCGTAGTAGTTTACTTAAAACAGTATGCGTTTACAGTTGATTCTCATACTCCGCCACTACACTGTAAAACGGCAAACTTGAAAGTATTTTCTCTAATAAAAAGATGTTTTGGTAGTATAATACATATGTGTTATTGTAATTTCTAACGTAATTTGGTTTGGATAATATATATTTATATGGTGAGATTTAAATTAGCTTTTTTATATCTAACATTGTAAAATGCTCAAAATTTTGACGTCATTAAAAATGTACGTAGTGTTCTGTCTATCTATTTTAATATCCTTAAAACTTAGTTGCACAAATATACGGCTCGAGGTTTTAAATGTACACAGTAGAAAAAAGTTAGCCTTTAAGTAATTTTCAGGCATGCAATCCAACCATACCAATATCGGACATATATATATATATATATATATATATATATATATATATATATATATATATGCACTTTATTCCGATTAAAACGATAGTTATTTTGGCAAAATTACTAGATTAAGAGAATTATGTACAAGATTATTCAGGCAGGGAGCAGGGTAAGCATTCTATTGATTGTCTGTTAGATATATTTAGTTTGTAATACCATTCAAATTTTACCCTGAAATCTAAATCTGAAAAATGAGTTTTAATTTAGTAAAAGTTTAACGACTCTGTGGTAATAAATACAGTACAGTATGAAATACAGACGCAATTTCAAAAAGTGGGGACTGAAGATGTAATTAATATTAAATATAAAAGTAAAGTAAAGTTACAGCCTATATACGTCCCACTGCTGGGCTCAGGCCTCCCCTCATTTCTGAGAGGGTTTTAGGGCAAGGAAGTGTCCGCCGCGCTGCCCAAATGCGTGTTGACGAACTTCACATGTCTTCGAAATATTTTTTTTCTTATTCCTCAGACCTGCAGGTTTCCTCACGATGTTTTCCTTCAACGCCGACTACGTGGTAAATCAGCACTTAAAATTGCAATTAACAATTTCATTGGTGCCGGCGGGGATCGAACCCGGGTTACTCTCGCGTTCTGTTATATTTACAGCGAGCGTTAACCACTGAGCTACCACGGCTCTATATTATAAAATATAAGGGACGAGTAAATCTTTTTATTATTTCATCTCAGATAATAGGTTGGTAATATTTTAAAAGTAACATCGCATTCACTGCTCTGACCAAATAGTATAGAGCTGCCCCTCCTGGTCAGTCTATGTATCTTCTTCTTTCTTATATATAAAACTCGATGTGTGTATGCATGTATGTTCCCGATAGACTCCGAATCGGCTTGACCGATTTCGATGAAATTTTCAGAAAATATTTAGATTATCCTAGCGGGAGGTAATTAATTTTGGTCGCGATCAACAACAGAACTTTTCAAAATATTTTTTTTTATTAATAATTAAAAATTAAAAAATTAACCATGTTATGACAGTTTCTGACAACGGAAGACAATTTACATCATCTGAATTTGAAGAGTACCTAAAACAATCGACAATCATTAAACGAACTTCTGCTCCCTACCATCCTGAAACTAATGGGCAGGTCAAATGTTACAGATTTGCACAAACTATTAAAAGATCCCTTAAAATATGGAAGAAAATTTTGGTAATAAACATGACAAAATATTTTTAATTGAAGCTCAGTTAAGACGTACTCCTAACGAAAGAGAAAATGCGTACCAACTGATGTAAGGGAGGGAAATAAGAACGGAATTTCTTGCATTATTTCGAAAGATTCAAGTAGAACGTCAAAATTTTAGCACTATATACTATTTATTACAAATATCTTATTATCAGGGAGATAGGTTACAAATACGCACTCATTCGAATCCGAAAAAGAAATGTGACTTCGAAAGTGCCACGTAGACTCTAAAAAATACATTATGAAGTAATTACCGAGGGAGGGCTGATGATGAGACGTCATATAGATCAGATGTATACTGTTCAGATATGAGAAATTCCGTCAGAGAAATAGGAGTCGCGGTGTACAGACTGATGTGTTCTAAGCCTAGCTTGACTGATGTATTCGTAGCCTTAGCATTAAAATATAGTCCTTAGGCCTAGTTCGGACCAGGCTAGTAATTTAGTAGAGTAGCGAGTAATTTAGTGGTTAAATGTGTGCGAACCACAAAAAATTAGTCAAGTAGTTTTGTGAATGATTAAGTCGAGTCGATCCATTTTACTCTCTTTTTATCGGGCGAGTAGCGCCTCCCATCACGCATCCGTGCTCACTGGTTCACTGGCTAAACAAGTCCGAACCTGTTGATTAGTCGAGTTCATTAGTGGCCGCAAAAATGTCATTTCACTGGAGCGGGGAAACAACCTTAAAATTGTTTCCAAATGTGTAGAACATGAATGCTTGTGGAATATTAAGTCCGCGCGTTATAAAAACAAACAAATGAGACAATCCTCATACTTGGATTTAGAAAATACAATTTATTTATCCAGATTTGTTGAAAAGGAAATTAAATTGAAAATTAAAAACATCAGGCTAGTGCATAATTTTATTATTTTAAGTATTTCAAAAGCATATTTATTACTATGATACTATAAGCTCTTAATTATTTTCACTACCTATTGTTTTTTGAAGTAATTTTACCCAAAGAGATCCTTTCCTTTTTAGATCGACCTACTCGCAGAAGTAAAAAAAAGGACTCCAAAATTTCAGGCGCTGAGATTGACACGATTTATATTCCTTCAGCAAAATAGTTCAGTTTATTGCATGCATCCACACAACTTTCGGACATTCTCGAACTATCCGACTTCCGAAGTCTACTTCCGAAGACAATTAGTAGCTCCTAGTTTATCTCTTCCATAGATCCATTTTTGTAACCCATACCTTCTTTTTCTTAATCATACAAAATTTCTCACCCACCTCTTCTAAAACAGCCATTACGATTAGCTTAATCAGTTTATTCACTCTATTACATTGCAGCCGGTTTATATTGCAAATCACCACTTAATTGTGTACTGGGATCGTAATTCGAACGATTTCTGTGCAGTAGCGAGGAGTTTAGCCACTAAATTACACGTTACTCTACTAAATTACTTAAGTAGTCCGAACAAGGCCTTACTGTGTTACTTTAGTAATGGAATCAATAATTCTATACCATTATAAACACTCCGATTTCCAAGCATTTCCTTAAAAACATGACAACAACATTATGTTCTTCGAAGCAACTAACTAACAAGAAACGCCGGCTACATGATCAAATCCACTATAAAATTGGGTCGTTGCTTTCGGTTCGAGATGATCATGCCAAGTTCCTCCAAATTATTTTACTGGTTATGAATTTTTTAATCACTAGATAGAATAAGATTTGCTGCGTAGTTTCAAGCAAATTACGCAGCTAAACGCTAATACTTACAAGATAATTTATGTTTACCGTTGAGCGAGATCATATTTACTATTTAATGATGTTGAGCGAGTATCCTGCATTTTAAAATTACATGAACTTCAGCTAAAATATGAGTTAACTCACTATCTTCTTATACAACATGTAACAAAAACCCTGTGGTTCCCGTTAAGTGTGTTATCAGAATCAATATCCAAGTGTATAGAAATATTTTTTCCAAAAAACTCACTTAAAAATATTTAATTTTAATGAAAAAAAAATTAATTTGCAAATTGTATGTGGTTTTATTTTCTCTAACTCACACGAGTATTGGTAATGCGGGGTGTCTTGGACAATCCTCTTACTCCTCGGCCAATGCAGAGATAATAAAACCACATACAATTTGCAAATATTTTTTTCATTAAAATTATTTTTTTAAGTTTTTTAAAAAAAATTATTTCTATATGCTTGGATACTGATTCTGATAACGCAGTTAACTGGAACCACAGGGTTTTTGTTACATTTTGTATATAAAGTGTAAAAATCAGTTGCTGTCCGTTGGTCTTGCTAAAACTCGAAAACGGCTCGATTTTGATGAATTTTAGTAGTATTTGAGTGGGCCCTGGTTGGTTTAAAAACTCTATTTAACCCCATAGGTGGCGCTGTTGTAGAGATCAAGAAATCGCCCGTGCGATGCCGGGGCGTATTACTAGTATTAGATAAAAGATAATAATTATAATTTATTAATAGTTTTGTCAACGATTTTTGTAATAAAAATTAACAATTTCAAAATAATTATCCTTTTTTTCTATTTTATAATATGTTTTTTAGGTTATTCACGTTTATAATGCTCAAACTTTACATCGAACTTTCAACAACAACATTCAGATCAGAGATTCTATTTTTTTAAACTTATTACAAGCCAGTACTTGACCACAATCCCACCTGGTGGTGAGTGGTGATGTAGCCCCAGATGCTAAATCGCACTGTCTCGGCGTAATAGTAGTATAGTTCATTACGAGTGCGGAAAGCCTGTCATTGCAAAGAGTTCCGACAAATGTCTACCCGAGTCAAGGCGCAGCCGAAGGTGAGGGTTGACAGTCGCAACAAGTTGCAATGACGGTTCCGCACGTGTACTGAACAACTATTTTAATACAGTTGCGAAAAAATGAAGCAATTTAATAAAATAATAAAAACACAATAAACTCAACTAACTAATCATTTATTTCTTATAAAAGTTATAATTCACATATACATTGAAATTGGTACAGTTTTAGTTTGCATATTTACTGTTTGAGACAAACTATTATTAATTTCGTATGATTGTTAATGTATATTTGTCAAGGGTGTTATACAATGGCGTTTGTTAGTTGATGGAATTGGATCTGATGAATTATCATTATCAACGAAGGTAGATGGATGAAGGTTCTCTTCAGTATTGTCATGTGAAGGAGACGGACTGGACTTTGAATTAATGGATTGTGTAATTTTTTCCCAGTTTCTAGTTTATTTTTTAATGAATCAGCAGCAATATAGCCTTCTGCAACTTTGACTTCCAACCTCCTAGTCGCTTTAAGGAGGTCAAATTGGCTCCTGAATCTGCCAACAATGTAGTAGAGGTCCTCCTG